AGCTGGTCTCACGAGGTAGCTATGAAATAAAATATTCAGTTAAATTGAAAGTACTGTTCTTTCCTGTTTTAGGACCTTTGTCCATAGTATTAGTTCCTTTGCAAGGCTGACTCCTCATCCTTTAAGACCCAGTGTGTAGCACCACCTCAGTGAAGTCTTTTTGAACTACTCAGTAAATGAGTTTTTCCCTATATCTTGGCACACTGCTGATTTCCTTCATTGCACTTCACCTTTTGGAATCACCTATTGGTTTACTTACTGTCTTTCTCCTCCACTATACTCTGAGCTCTGAGAGGAAAAGGATAATGTCTAGCGTTTAGAAAGTGTTCAATAAAGTTATTGAATAAATAAACATAATAAAAGAGAAGTAAAAAATGAATAAAATGAGATACCATTTAAAAAAATCTACTCTATTTGCTGAAATTTTTTTTTTTTTTTTTTTGTGGTATGCGGGCTTCTCACTGTTGTGGCCTCTCCCGTTGCGGAGCACAGGCTCAGCAGCCATGGCTCATGGGCCCAGACGCTCCGCAGCATGTGGGATCCTCCCGGACCAGGGCACGAACCCGCGTCCCCTGCATCGGCAGGCGGACTCTCAACCACTGCGCCACCAGGGAAGCCCCATTTGCTGAAATTTTTAAGGGAAAATACTCTGTGTGAAACAAGATGGGATGGATATAGTCATTGTGCTACTTGGTAAATTGGTGTTACCTTTCAGAATGGAAATTTTGTAAAAGGTAGCAAGAGCCTTAAACATTAGTGCCTTTTGACCCAGTAATTTTGCTTCTTGGAATCTATCCTAAAGAAGTCATCTCTGCCAGAAGATGGGGAAGCATTCTTCCTAGCTCTTACTGTATTCACTGATATTCCTTCCTAAGAAAAGTAGAAGTCCAATTGGGCCGCATTTTATAGTTGTCTTCTGCTTCTTTTCATGCAGATATGCCAGGGACTCACTCCTTGGCTAGCCCCAGTATTCTTGTATTCTAATACTCTCACAGAAGTCTTTGAGAGTTCTTACTGCTTGGGGCACCTCACTGTACAGGTAGTAGATTTGGATTTGGACTTTGGAGGAAAGTAAAGGGTCCTGTTTAGGCCCTGGGCTAAAGGGTAATGCCTTAAATCCAGTTTATTAAGAGCCTTGCTTTGGGGTGTCTGGAAGTAATCCAGCTAATGGTGGTACTTTGATTTCATTTTTGACTAATCTCCCTTCTCTCAGCCCCTCCCTTTTGTGCCCCCACCATCTCTTTCTCGTGTGTGTGTGTGTGGGGGGCATTTGTGTATTCCTGGGGTTTCAAAATCAGTGCTTCCTTTCTTTTTCTTGTCAGACACATACTGAAAACATTTTAGGACCAGCAAGGATAATGGAAAGGATTGCTTAAGGCCAAAGGCCTTAAGTTCTTTGTGCTCACTGATGTTCAAATATAGGTCACAATCCATTGCTGAAGTGGGCTGCAACTATCATTAAAATAAATGAAGATGCTAGAATACATCATTCGTAGAATTGTATATTGTTTGTAACATTACAGTATGAGATATATTTCTTATCAGCATCACTGTCAAACTTTGTAAGCTATTTGCTCTAGCCAAATACCAGTTAATGCCCCAAACTTCACTTCTGTTGCATCATATTTAAACAGGGGGAAAGATTTATGAACAGGGATTCAGGCTTAATTTATTGCAGAATTTGAACAGTGAAACATTATCAGAAGACTGGCTAAATAAATCATGATGACCTGTCCTTTCAGGTTATTTGCTCAAATTAGTATTCTTTTATCTTCAGTATTTTTAAGATTTGTGGTGAAGGTCCAGAGGTTAGCAATAGCTTTCTTAGTTCTTATATATAGAGTCAGTGGAGCCTTAAGGAATAATCAGTGTGCCATAATACACTGGTAACAGCACGGAGGAATCAGCTTTGAGCCTCAGTTCTGTGACAGCCTTGGGCATGGTACTTAACTCCTTTATGTCAGTTTGCTCATCTATAAACTGGAGCTAATAGTGCATATCTATCATAAGGTTGCCCTGGGTAGGAAATACAGTAATACATGTGAAGTGCTCAGCTCTTGCTTGGGCTCCCAGTGAGTAGAGTTAATTCCAGGCTGTTCTGCCTGAATCTCTCTATTTGTGCCTTAGTTTCTCCTTCAGCTCACATTTCAGCTAATATTACTAGATGATTCTTCGGGAGATAAAAACTTCACAGCAGTTTGAGACAGTTAAAATCAGAAGATAATAAATGTGAAAAGCACTGCACAAATTTGTGGTGGTATTAATTCCAGTAGTAGCAATAATAGGAAACCTGTTTGCATTGCAAATGAGCTGATTAATAACTGTATAATGAATAGAATCAGTAATTGATTCAGGTGGGAATAAATAGATACTTTCAGTTTTCCACAGGTGCCAATGTATTTTTTGCCTTAGGACCTTTGTAGTTTTTCCTTTTGTCTGGAATATTCTCCCTCATCCTCGTCCCTCATGTATGCATATCTAGTTCTGCCCTATCAGCTGAAAAGATACCACTTTAGATACCCTGACCATCCAGTCTGAGTAGACTGATTAGTCCCAGTGGATTTTTTAAAAAATCACTTTAAAAACTTACAATGTTAATTATTACTTGGGTCTTGATTGTTTTCTGTTTGCCTCCTCCCCAACTAGGATGTAAGCCTTGAAGAGCAGGGACCTTGCCTGTGTTGTTTATTATTTTTTCCTGTACCCAGATCAGTGCCTAACAAACACTTGTTGAATGTTTGACTATCATGTAAAGTATGAAAAGTTATCCATAATTGTACTTCCCAGAGATAAATAACCATTCTTGATATTATGGTATATAGTTTCCTAATTTTACATACTTACTAGTGTCTAATATTATGCTCTTATACCATATTTCGTTGAATCTAAAGGTGAACATGTTTTACTGTATTTTATGTCTCTAAAATTGGGATGTCGTATAATCAAGAGTTTGCCATGATTTAACTGGCAGCGTTTTTCTTTCTCAATAGCACATAAAATGAGGCTGTGTCTTAAAATCAGTAGCATCTTAGATTTGATGAAATTTGGTATGTATTTGAAACAAAAATGAGATCATTATGTTCACCTCTCCCCACCTAGATATCAATATTTTGAGCATTTTCCTATATCACTGTATTTAGATCTATCACATTCTTAACAGATATCTAGCATATTATTAAGGGTGTATCATAAATTGTTCAACCAATTCCTCTTGATGAACAGTTGGAGCTTTTCCAGTGTTTTTTCCTGTTACAGACAGTGCTGTGTTGAATATATTTGTACATTTGAGTGCCTTTTGAGTGCCTGGATCAGTGGGTACACAAATTTTCTGTAGTATATGAGGGTACCTGTTTCTCTATATCCTCAGTATTACTGCATCTTAAGAAATTTTTAAAATTTTTGTTAATCTGATGAATGAAAACATATCCTAATGTTTTATTCATTTATTTATGAATGAGGTTGAGCCTCTTTTCATGTTTACTTTTTAAATTTTCTCTTCTGCGATGCACTTGTGCATAGGGCAGTAGACTTTTAATTGGCTGGCAGATTTGCTGTAATTAGGAAGAGAGGCCATCACACTTCGGAGCCATGTGTTGTCATATTAATTTTTGGGAACAACTTTCAGGGCAGAGTCCACCCTTGTGGAAGGCAAGAGGGCTTTATAAGGACCCAGGATTAGGGGAGAGACAGAATTCAGGAATAATCAGAATTGTTGTATCCTTTATAATGGAGGCCAAGAAGGGTTACAGTCTCATCAGTTTGTGAGCTGAATACTGGAACTTAAACTATGCTCTTACTCTTTAAATGCTCCTCTCCTTTCTGATATGATTTGGTTATAGTACGGTATTGTTGGGTTAGTGGTCTGAAACAGGCACAACTCTGGACTTGAGTGAAGTCAGTATTGGATCTAGAGATTAAATCTTTGATCATTTAAGACTAGATTAATGAGGGTTTTTTGCACATTGCCAAGATGTTCTTGTCAACCTTTTTGAGCACTTTTACTATGCCAGACAATGTGTGTTTCAAAGACAGATATCAGATGGTCTCTGCCTTTTAGGTTCCATTGCAGACTATGGAGAAGACAGATTTCAATCCTTCGGTAAGAGTGAGTCCAGAAGGTACGGGGAATATGAAGAGCACAGAGGAAGGTGTTTAGTCTAACAGAGTTTAAGGAAGACTTCTTGGAGTAGGTGTGATAAACTAAACTGAGTCTTGAAGGATGATAAGAGTTAGCTGACGGTAGTAAATAGTAAAGGATACAAGAGCCTGAGAGAAGATACATCTTGTATAGTTGAAATGGACTACAAGTGGTAGGGTTTGGTAGGGTTTTCTAAGAACATAACATTTGAGGTAAAGAGTGACTTATGATGAGTCTGGGAAGATAAGCAAGAACCAGATAATGAAGGGCCTTAAATGCCATGTTAAAGATTCTGCATTTTATAGGTTAAGGGGAATAACCTTGAGTAATGGTGTGGTCAAATTTGCATTTGAGAGATCACTGCCTGAAGATTGATTCAAGGGGCAAGACCTAAGGCAGTAAGGTATGTTGGGAAACGATTCTGGTAATCCAGGTGAGAGGATTGAGGCTTTAGCTCAATGGTAATAGAGCCTACTGGAAAAATCATAGTTGTTTCTCTTATATAATATTTGGCCTTCTTGTTCAGAATCCCTCTGAGATTAAATTTCACGAAGCTGATGGCTTATATTCATTTTCTAATTATTTGTTTTATGTCTGTAAGAAGTTTATACTTTTATAAATACCTGCTAATGATACTATATGGAGATGGTTAATAAATGTTTTTGATGATTATAAAAATTGGGAGATGTTAGCTCTTTTGGTATACTTAGTGATTATCTTAGAGGAAAACAATTCGGGAATTTTGCCTTTGGGTAGAAGTAATGATTTGTTAGATTAAATTTAGATGGTATAATTTTTTTAACTTACATGAATTTATAATTTCTGTGTGCTAATTTCTCTCTCTCTCTTTTTTAAGGCTATTAGCAAAAGATGGTGGATCGCTTGGCAAACAGTGAAGCAAATACTAGACGTATAAATATAGTAGAAAACTGTTTTGGAGCAGCTGGCCAACCCTTAACTATACCTGGACGGGTTCTTATTGGAGAAGGAGTATTGACTAAGTTGTGCAGAAAAAAGCCTAAAGCAAGGCAGTTTTTCTTATTTAACGATATTCTTGTATATGGCAATATTGTCATCCAGAAGAAAAAATATAACAAACAACATATTATTCCCCTGGAAAATGTCACAATTGATTCTATCAAAGATGAGGGAGACTTGAGGAATGGATGGCTGATCAAGACACCAACTAAATCGTTTGCAGTTTATGCTGCCACTGCCACTGAGAAATCAGAATGGATGAATCACATAAATAAATGTGTTACTGATTTACTCTCCAAAAGTGGGAAGACACCCAGTAATGAACATGCTGCTGTCTGGGTTCCTGACTCTGAGGCAACTGTATGTATGCGTTGTCAGAAAGCAAAATTCACACCTGTTAATCGTCGTCACCACTGCCGCAAATGTGGTTTTGTTGTCTGTGGGCCCTGCTCTGAAAAGAGATTTCTTCTTCCCAGCCAGTCCTCTAAGCCTGTGAGGATTTGTGACTTCTGCTATGACCTGCTTTCTACTGGGGACATGGCCACGTGCCAGCCTACTAGATCAGACTCTTATAGTCAGCCATTGAAGTCTCCTTTAAATGATGTATCTGACGATGATGACGATGATGATAGCAGTGACTAAAGGCGTATTTTGAAATATTTAATCAGATGTGACTATCTGAGAAATCAGCTCTGGGGGGAATGTAAAATCCTGAGCTTTCTGTCAGTTTTGCTCTAGCCATGAATTTGCCTGAGAAACTTATAACCTATGTGCCTCAATATATTCTATAGAAAATAGGTCCTGTTACCATCCCCCAGCCCCAACTGCTGCTGCCACTGTCTCCTCACCTCCCCCAGCTCCCTATTCTTCTACAGGGATAGACTGTTGCGAATATATCAGATAAAGTTTTGGTTTCTCATTCTTGTTTTAATTCTAGACTGTTTTCTTGAATGGTTGGGAAAAGATGTTTATTTAACATATGTACTACACTGTTGTTTATTATATGTTCTGTTATATGGAAAAACTAAAAGCAAAGAATGATGGAAAAAGGAGTGTGATGTGGTCAGTTAATAATGTTATTAGCTTTTTTCTAACCATCCTGTCTAAAGGTTAAGACACCAGTAACAGAAATACATGCTTTGGAAATACTTTGTTTGGCTTTTTCATATACCAGGTGGTGCCTTATCATAATAGCACTGTTGCATGTAATAAGCTCCTACCTTCTCACTTTTTAATTTGTTTTAAAAATACACTGGTGCTCTTCGAGGTGTAAAATGAATGTTATAAATGGGTGTAATTAGAAAATACTTCTCATTTGACAGCTACAAATAACTAAATTTAGAGTTTCTTTATTCTGTATGAATATTTTTCCATAAAATAGTTGTGATTACTGTATATTTTTACTTTTTGTAGGTACCAAATTATAATTGTCATTCTGGGGAATTTGGTTTGAAATTTATCAAATACAAATTGTCATTGCATTATTGCTACTTTTAGTAAGACATATTTTTAGGTATAAATTCATCTGCTTTAACATTGTTTCTAGAATGAAAAATCTTACACAACTTCTTGAAATGAAACAATCTCTTAAAAAAAATCTCATGCTAGAGCACAGATCTACTTAGGTTGAAGATTTGGAAGAAATAATGTATGAGAATGGTCAAGAGAGACCAGATAAGTTTGACTAGACTTCATATCTGTGGAAGTATTTTCTCTTTCAGTGTGAAACTATCTTGAATTTACAAATATAGTGTTATATTTTATAAAGTTTTGTAAAGTCCCAAACAATATTTCTATTTTTGTAAAACAGTTGTATGTTTAATCTGTTTCTGAAATCATTTTGCAATCTATGGAAATAGAGTAGCAATTGATCTTTCTAAATTGTGAACTTTATCGAGTCAGTCTAGATTGCTTTTAAGAAGAGGTAGTTTTTCACTCTTTGCTTTTGAGGCAGCCATTAGGTTGAAAGTATATTTATCATATAAAACTTGATGCATTTTGCACTACTCTCTCCATTTGTATGCTGCAAATAACTGTAGTCTTTCAAATGTGAAAAATCAGTCTGAAGTTTGTTTTAAATTCTAAATTCTTTTGTTTTAAAATCTTTAAATCTGGATATATTGCAAATGTCATGAGAGGTTTGATTTAATAACTTGTGATAGAGGATTCTTTGGTTTGGTTAAGGCATTAACTTTACTTTTAAATTGTGAAAGCACCTGAGATATATAGATCTCCCTGTAGGAAATGTGAAAGAAAGGCACAACAGGTTTTTTTTTGTTTGTTTTAATATCATATGGACTTTTGTTTCTAAGCAATATTTACATATAATCAATAAACATATCCAAAAAGGACCAGGAAATCTGAGAAGTGCTAATGGAGACTTGCTCATACATAGGAACCTAGCAAATTCAGGAACCAAGGGGAAATGTTCTGAGATAACATTTATGTTGTCAACCTCTGTTGACTCTGTTTTTACAATAAAAAATATTTTACAACTTTACCTTCTGTGCATATTGTGACTTGAAGATTTTTTACCCCTTGCTAAGGTTAATGGAGATGTTATGCATATTTTACCTCATTTCAACAGCTGTGAGTGCCTTCTATGTGCCAGGCATTGTTCTAGGTGCTAGGAGTAGAGCAGTGAACAGAAATTGCCTCCTTGTCATGGAGTTTACCTGCAAATAGAGTCCAAGCTGTGTTTTCTTCCAGAATTTTTTCTGTAATTTTTAAAGCTTTTATAAATCTTACTTATATATAAACCTGAAATGATTTTGGTGCCAGTTTCTCATGCTGTTCTCTTGAATGAAATTTACTTGGACTGTACTGGATCCCCAGTACATTAACCAAATTGATGACTATTGGCATAAAGGAAGCAAAAATTTGTAGATGCCAAGGAAAAATATTAAATTGAATACATACACCTTAACACAGGAATTCATGCCTTTGGGTCGAGTGCATACAATGGCCAGTTTTATATAAAGTCATTTGTTTATATATCTTTGTCACTTTTATGCTGAAATTTTTTTCTTTTTTTGGCCGCACTGCATGTAGCATGTGAGATCTTAGTTCCCCAACCAGGGATCGAAACTGTGCCCCCTGCAGTGGAAGCACAGAGTCTTAACCACTGTACTGGGAAGTCCCTGAAATTCTTATAAATGGGTAGTATTGAATTGTATACCTATGATTTTTGAAGCATTCAAAAATGTACTTGAGCTGTAATCTTTCTCTTGGATGTGCTAACTTGTTCTCAAATACATGTTGTAGCTTTATACAGTACAGTAGCAATTATCTACAAATCCACATGATTGCTATACATTTTAGAAGATAAATAAAATTGAATAGTAAAGTCTAGGATGAAAATACATGAAACTTTATTGATAGTAACTTTAAAGTTTTAATTTAAAAGCTAAATTATTTTCAGTTAATTCAACATTTATTAAGTATCTGTTATGTTAGGCTCCATAATATTGGTGTTGGTTGTTTTAAACTTTTTAAGGGTCATTTCTATAAAGGTTATCATCAGTGGTATTCTCTTAAAGTAAGTTTCTTAAAAATTACTTTGTATTTGGCATCTGAAGTAATTGAAAAAGTTTTTTGCAACAGTACACTTAGTATACCAAATTTCAACTCTAGAAAGTAGAATTTTAAGCCATTTAACTAACAGTATCGCTCTTTGCATCCACTCTAAATGTAGTATTTGGCAAAAACAGAAATCGGCAAAGGTAGAATTGCTTGGCTTGATAATCCTATCTTTTTAATTGATCAGTACTAAAAGCTTGAGGAAGTTGGTTGATAATATTGCTAACATTATCTTCACCATCAGAACCATTGTTATATTTAATTACGTTATTGCTGTAAAGCTTTGATGGTATTATCTAACAGTTTATCAAGAGAAAAGGAGTAGTCAGTATCATTTTAAGCAGATTTTGCTCCTGTCAGCTTAATGTTTAGAAGAAATAACATGCTTTACTCTTCTTTATTTTTAGCTTTATTGAGATATAATTCACTTACCATACAGTTCACCCATTTAAGGTATACAATTAAGAAAATAAGATAAAGTTACACAGTGGCTTTGGTATATTCTTGAAACCATCACCACTGTTTCCAAAACATTTTCATCACTTCAAAAGTAGCCCTGCACTCATTAGCAATCACTCCCCAATCCCCCAGCCCTAGGCAACCGCTAATCTACTCTCTCTCTATAGATTTGCCTTATCTGGACATTTGACAAATGAAGTCATACATTATGTGGTCTTTGGTGACCTACTTTTTTTCACTTGGTATGTTTTTAAGATTCATGTTATCATGCATGAGTACTTACTCCTTTTTGTTGCCAATTAATATTGTATGGATGACCTACATTTTATTGACTTATTAGTTGACATTTGGGTTGTTTCCACTTTTGGGCTATTGTGAATAATCTTGTGACAGACATTTGTGTACAGGTTTTTGTGTAGACATGTTTTTATTTCTTTTGAGTACGTACCTAGAAATGGAGCAGTGGCTTATATGTTACCTCAATGTTTAACCTTTTGAGGAGCTGCCAGACTGTTTTCCAAAGTGGCTGTACCATTTTACTTTCCATCATCAATGTAGCCAATTTCTCCACATCTTCCCCAACACTTACTGTCTTTGATTATAGCTTGTGAAGTATCCCATGGTTTTGATTTGTATTTTCCTATTGGCTAATGACGTTGACGACCTTTTCATGTGCTTATTGGTTATTTGCATGTCTTTTTTGGCGATGTGTCTGTTAATGATCCTTTGCTGACTTTTAAATTAGGTGGTTTTTCTTTTTTGTCATTGAATTGGAAGAGTTCTTTATATAATCTGGATATAAGACTTTATCAGATAATTGATTTGCAAATATTTTCCCTCGTTCTGTGAATCGTCTTTTCACTTTCTTGATGGTATTGTTTGAAGCACAAAAGTTTAATTTTGATGAAGTCCAATTTATCAGTGTTTTCTTTTGTTGATTGTGCTTTTAGTGTCGTATCTAAGACACTAGATAATGCCTAACTCAAGATCATGAAGATTTACTCCTATGTTTCCTTCTAACTCTTGAGTGTGATGAGGACTCTTGGTTATTGATACACAGAACATATCCCTAATATTTCCTCCAGAATTAGAGTTGGGAGCTATTTCCTAATGAATTAGATAATTCATTAGAATTCTTTAGCGAATTTCCAGTCAAGTAAAACGGCAATATGTTTGCATTAGCCTTTTCTTTCAAGTCAGTAGGGTAAAACTATTGGATATACTGCAGGCAGGCTCAGAAAACATTCTTTCGTATGCTGAAGACATGGTTTATTGTTGCTGGCAGCTGACTTCATATAATTTTGCTTTGAAGTCCAAGTTACTGTCAGAAAGAATGACTCAAACTATTCTGACTTAAGACAAACTGTTACAAAAGTAATAGGGTAAAATTGTAAAGTCTAGATTTTTGTATATAGATCATGCTTTATTTATTTATTTATTTAGGCTGCGCCGGGTCTTAGTTGTGGCACGCGGGATCTTCATTGCAGCATGTGGGATCCTTTTTAGTTGTGGCATGCATGTGGGATCTAGTTCCCTGACCAGGGATTGAACCCGGGCCCCCTGCGTTGGGAGTGCAGCATCCTACCCCATTGGACCAACAGGGAAGTCCCTAGATCATGCTTTCTTATAGGAATATCCTAATGACTTGAAGAAACAAAAATTCCAGAGTTACTTTGGCAAACTTTTTACTCCATAAACATCATCACATCTCATCAGGTGGTGCTCAATTTCAATATGTCACATTAGGGTACTTGAAGATCTATCATATAGATACTGTATTCCTCATCAAACCTTCATTTATTTCTTTTATGGACTCATGGTTTCCTACTTAAGCGGTTCTCAAACTTGAGTGTGCATGAGAATCCTATGGAGGGCTTATTAAAACATCGACTGCTGGGCCCTGTCTCCAGAGTTCCTGATTCTGTAGGTCTGGAGTGGGACTCAAGAATTTGCATTTCTAACAAGTTTCCAGGCGATGCTGTTGTTACTGGCCCAGGGACCATACTTTATTGCCCATTATTATAATTTATTCTGATGCTCAAATAGTCCCTAGTTTGGCCAGTGGCAAGCTGGCTTCTGTGGCCTATTGACAAATCTTCACTATTTGAGCCCTTTTTACTTTTTTGCTACAGGATGTTCTAGACTCATCTTGAACTTTCCCTTCCCCAACCCAGGAATTGGCCATTTCTCCAAAGAGCCCTTTTAGTGGAGAGTGATACTTAGAAGCCAAGATTTGGGCATGAGTTGTACTTGTTGCTTTGGGGAATGTACCAGTCCCAGGCCCTTTCAGTGGACAAATCTAGTGTGTGTATACACACACACACTTTTTTTCAATTAAAAAAAAATTTTTTTAAACATCTTTATTGGGGTATAATTGCTTTACAATGGTGTGTTAGTTTCTGCTTTATAACAAAGTGAATCAGTTATACATATG